GGCGTCCCCCTCCCTATGGGCACCCACTGCCCCCCCACCTGGGCTCAGGTCTGCCATAGGGAAGTCGATGAGTACAGTCAGCCCCACGGGACGAAGGCCGTGGCGGAGGAATCCAGCATGGCCTCCTCCCAATCCCTGCTCTAAGCCGCCCACACCTACAGGTCCAGCCGCACCCAGGTCCTTGACGCCTACATGTACCCAGACGAGAGCCCCGCCAGACCGGACACCTTCAGCCGTGACCCTTTCCTTGCACGCTTCAGCCTGCCTAGCAAGGGTGAGAGGGAGCCTGGGTTTGAGGGGGGAGGAGCTGGGAGCCAGGACCCCCAGGATACCAAGGTCACCCCTCCCTCCCAGCTATTCATCCTGTCTCTGCCCCCAGCGCTCCCAGCTCTGGTGCTTGTGCCCCTGCACATGGTGCCCACGAAGGCCGAGCTGGTGGTGGACACGCTCTACGACGTGTTCCTGGAGCTGCAGGCCCAGTGGGGGGCGCAGGGGAGTGGGGAGAAGGGCAGGGCGAGGAGCCCCTGGCATCTGGTGCTGTCCTCTCCCCCCAGGATGTCATGTTCCTGGGAGACTTCAATGCTGACTGTGGCTACGTTGTGCCCCTGCACATGGTGCCCACGAAGGCCGAGCTGGTGGTGGACACGCTCTACGACGTGTTCCTGGAGCTGCAGGCCCAGTGGGGGGCGCAGGGGAGTGGGGAGAAGGGCAGGGCGAGGAGCCCCTGGCATCTGGTGCTGTCCTCTCCCCCCAGGATGTCATGTTCCTGGGAGACTTCAATGCTGACTGTGGCTACGTGGCGAAGAAGGGCTGGGGCCAAATCCGGCTACGGGGGGCCCGCGCGCCGGCGCCTGCCCCCGTAACCCCGTTCTCCCCCAGGATCGTGGTGCATGGTGAGCGCCTGCTGGGCCTGGTGGTGCCCGGCTCAGCCCAACCCTTCGACTTCCCCACCGCGCTGGGACTCACGGAGGCCGAGGTAAGATGCCCTAGCCAGAGCAAACCCCCATAGCTCCCTGGCTGGGCCGAGCGGGCTGCAGCTTGGGTGCCATGAGCCACGCAGCTCAGGCCCAGTGCTGGTGGTGGAGGGTGTGAGCAGGGCCAGCCCGAGCCCTTTTGGCGCCCTGGGCCTGGGCACACGGTGCTGCCCCTGGGGCGCACGGCGCATGCGCTGCCCAGCCGGGCCTGGCCAGCTGGGTTCTGCAGGTGTCCGTCCCTCTGTCTGACAGCACAGCAGGCGCAGCGCCAGGCTCAGGGCATGAATCCTGCCTGTGGGGAAAGGCAGTGGCTGGCAGCCGGCAGGGCAGCTCAGGGTGCCCCAGCAAGCCCCAGGCATCCCCATCCTTCTCTCTCCCTGTCCCGCCAGGCGCTGGAGGTCAGCGATCATTACCCAGTGGAGGAAGTCCCAGTGGAGGTGGAGCTGAACGCCGTCCCGGGGGCACAGCATGGCTGCCCCGGGGCTGCTGCTGGCCGAGCTGGGGGGCTGGCTCTGACCCCCCGCCCAGTGCATGGAGGAGCCCGGACTCAGATGCTGGGCCCTGCTTTTGTGGGCTCAGGGCTCCCCCCCACTTGCAGAACCCCCTGTGGAGAAGCAGGGATTGCATTCGCCTTATGCTGCATGGGAGTTCTACCGCTCTGCAGTGACCCTGCGTGTGGGCCGCAGTTTCCCCGGGCGCTGCTCCACTCCCTGGATTTGGATTTCGGGGCGGTCCCCCACACACACACTGGCCGAGGCCCTTCGGACCCTGAGCCTGGGACAGGGCGGCCAGGTGACACCTTGTGCCTGGGAAGCAGGATAAAGGCCGGGGGAGGGGCTGAAACCAGGCGCAGTGAGTGGGTCAGGTGGAGCTGGCTTGGGGTGTAGAGATGGGGGCCAGGGCCCTGGCTGTGAGGCCCCATCACCCCGAGCTGGGCTGTCCTGGCTGCTCCTGTCCCTGTGCTGACAAGTCTGGTCTATGCTGTGTCCCTGGGAACCAATAAACCTGTTCTCACTGCTGGCTGTCTGCAGGGGCCTCCCGCAGTGACAGGGGCACAGGCTGCCAGCTTCACCCCATGTCCTTCAGACCCGGCTCCTCCCCAGCCACAGGCCCCAACACCCCACTCGTAGAACCATAGAACCATGGGGCTGGAAGAGACCTCAGAAGGTCAAGTCCAGCCCCCTGCGCTAGGCAGGACCAATCCCAACTAAATCAACCCGGCCAGGGCTGTGTCAAGCTGAGACTTAAACACCCCTAGGGATGGAGACTCCACCCCCTCCCTAGGGAACCCATTCCAGTGCTTCCCCACCCTCCTAGGGAAATAGCTTTTCCTAATATCCCACCTGGACCTCTCCCACCACAACTTGAGCCCATTGCTCCTTGTTCTGCCATCCGTCACTACTGAGAACAGCCTCTCTCCATCCTCTTTGGCACCCCCCTGCAGGTAGCCGGAGGCTGCTCTCAAATCCCCCCTCACTCTTCTCTTCTGCAGACTAAACAAACCCAACTCCCTCAGGCTTGTATCCGACTTGGCTAGGTCTCCACTCCCAGCCCCGTGACTGGCTGGGGGCCCCGCCGCCCCCCGGG